TGTAATATATATATATATATATATATATATATATTGTTCATTTATGTCAGGTGTGTCTCGTTATCCTGTGTATTTAGCCCCAGTCTGTGCTTGTCGGGTCTACTTGTTGGATTACGTGTGTTTACCACTGTTCCTGTTGTGGATTTACCCCTGTGATTCTCTTATTAAATACCGTTTATGTTATCCACGTCCCCATCGTTCCTTCCAGCAGCGTATCGTGACAACATCGTTGTTCGCCAACACCAAAAATCCATTGGTTGGGGAGCTGCAGAATGGGTGTGGGCGAACAACAATCGTTTACTATACGATGGATGTTGTATATTACACATCAAAGACAGATGAGGTGATATTGATTGTGGAATTTGAGAAATATCTGATAATACAAGGGAAATCCCTCAAGAAGGTTAGTAAAAAATAAGGTTTTGAACTATAACTTGAGACTTTTATGCTCTTCAGCTGTTCAGTGTGTTGCGAGGGCATAAGAGTATGCAAACAAAGAATACATTTTTGCAACAGGCAGCATTTTTGCTTTCAGTGTGGACTAAATAATTGCTGGTTGCTGGAATATTGGATTGCGCATCACGTCTGATTAAGATACTGTTGTAGTAATAAAAATGAACTTACTACTGCTAGTTTTTCACAAAAATCTGAGAATAAGTACACAAAAATTACTACTGTGCCTTTATAGATGAATTAGGCCTTTAAGACCCTTTTAGAGGTGAGAACGCAGGAATTATGATAGCCTGTTCTGTGGACAGTTATGAGCTGTTATCTCAAACACATCACTGATGACTTTTCATGCTTCACTAGGTACATCTCAGAATTAATAAAATTGTCAGAAATTATAAAATAACAATACAATTTATTTTTATTTACATAGGAAAGTGCTTTTTTTTTTTTTTACCTACAGAAGATTCTTGGGTTCAAATCCAGACCTAACATCACACTGGCAAAGAGAGTTTCATTGCTGTAGAGTGATATTGCGGTTATACAAGTCAATGTATAAAATGTAATCCTTCATGTGTGGATTGTGGAACTACTTTCTTACGCCAGAGATTCAGAAACAATTTTGCCAGTTTGTCAAGTTTTGCTCCGCCATTGAAAATAGTTCCAAACAAAGACACAGCATTGCACTGCAACATGGCATAAGTGTTTCGCTCCTGAATTAATCTGCATATTTGAATGAATCCGTTGAATTAACAATTCATGAGTCACGCATAATAACACTTGCCGCCACCTACTGGAAAATCCCAGTCTGTTTAGAGAGCGTGCAAATCCTAACGCAGGAGGTGTTTTGGACTGACCAAATTTACATTTACATGGCAATTTCTGCTACAGCACTGTTGTCAAACACTTAATTAATATGCAAATTGTTATCAAAACAAACAAATTGCAAACAATTTTCTGCTACTAGTTTTACCTAAACTGCCTTCATTTTTTGACAAATCCACAGCTTTAGAAAAAAAAAATAAAAAAAAAATCCACATATAGATGTTTGCTGTACGTTTAGTTTCTGCACAATCGTATATACATGCACATTCTAGAACCACATTTTACGCACAAATACCAGACAATATGAGAATATACTCATATATCAGATTGTGCGCTCAGTTCAACAGTATGGAGTATATTCGTTTGCATTGTCTTGAAATCCAACTTGAGTTTCTCCTCGGGGTGACTGCTATGGTCGATTTATCATGATGAACGATAAATGTGTGAAAATATCATATATCAATTTACATGCGCTAAAAAAATTAATAATCTAATGAAAAACACACAGCTGATTAGTTTTCAGTGTGTTGGGTAGTAATCAAGCCTTTAGCAAGGATCAGTAAACCTCACTCATAACTCAGATGCTTGACACATAAGGTGTATTAAAAGGCCACTCAAACTCTGTTCCAAAAACCAAGTGAAGTTCAAGTTTAAATAATAAAATTAAATAAATTTAAAAAAAAATTGAAGATACATAGAAATATTAAACAACAACAAAACTTTAACTAAAATTTAAATTGAAAATACAAAAATGAAAGCTTATTCAAAATATGAATACTATAAATAATGCTAGAATAAGCATACTGAATATGTCTTATATGAGGCCTTTGTAGTAGACAGTGAAGCATCTCACTTGATTTAGAAACAACACCAACATTTGTTCAAGAGAAATAGTGTTTGCAACAGTGAGGAAATCTCCAAAAACAGTGATTTGCAATTTAGACTTCTGAGCTTCAAAATCCAGAGGTGGAACACAAGTCAATCACTTTATTGCCTTTGTAAATGCTTTTCAAAGACGTTTTGTTGATTTGAGCTTGAGGGAAGGGCTAATGTTTACACTGGGGTGGCGGAAACTCCATTAAGGCTGTTTTGTCAAGTGAAATTGATATTGCAGACTGGATCCAAAGCTCATCTGCAATTAAAAGCCATTCATCAAAAAATAAAGTGGGAGCAGCACAAGAACAAATGACATTCAGTTTGCTGTTAGTACTGCGGTGCATTACCAGAGTGGTGAAGATGTAGTGATAGTACTCTGTCATCATCCCCATCATCTGGGCCTGGAGGAAGAGGAAGAGGAAGGGGAGGGGGGTAGAAAGAATAAGGTCACTATGTCATGTCAGAGTAATTTGCAATCATTGTGGCATCCAACACAAACAATGAACAACAAATGAGATTGAATCAAAATAGCGTAACTATGAGGAACTATTCAGCTCTGTTGATCTATCAACGTCTCTCTCTGATTTTATTGTATCATATAGCACAACAGCTAGTGCAGCTAGCTTCTAATCACGATAAGGGCCCTGAATGGGATAGTTCACCCCCCCAAAAAAAAGAACATCCTGTCACCCTCATGCTGCTCCAAATATGACTTTTGTTCTTCTGCTGAATGCAAAAGATAAGATATCAATGTCTTTTGCAAACAACAAAAGAGAATGGGGATGTTCGACAAAAAGGTTTGTAACAACATGAGGATGAGAATTAATTTACTATTCCTGTAGGGCCCTATGATATATATATATATATATATATACATTGGATTACATTATAATGTTTTTTTTGTTTTTTTCTAGATCCCATTATAATGGTTTAATTAAATTGTAATATCATGCGGCTGTCTTTTATTTTATTTTATTTTATTATTATTTATTAATTTATTTTTATTTATTTATTTATTTATTTTTTGTAGTTTACAACCCTGCTTGATTTATTTATCCAAATATGGCCAAATTCCATGGCATTCAGTGTTATTTGGTTCCAATTTCATGTCTGGATTCCATGATTCTGTTCACATTTTCTGCATTGTGTAAATCATAGGGCCCCCTATTCCTGTACTCAAACATAATGATTGCTTTATAAATTGGTCATGGCTACTCCCAATACATTTCCTTCAATGTTCATTCAAATGCTCACTTTTCCCTTGGTGCTCATACAGTATGTCTGCTTTAATTATGCCATCTGCCGTGAGGAAAACTCAAGGTTATGCTGACGTCTTTCCCTCTTCTAGACCGTAATCACTCAAGTTTGTGGAAAAGTCAGAAACTGTTTCATTTCTTACAATGGGTTGCAGTAATAGCCCCTTCTATGTCTGTGCCTGTACTTTCTATATCTCCCAGTCCCTCATGCACATGCACATGCACGCTTATTAAGAGGACTCGGGCCACAGAGAATGACACAACTTTTTCATAAGTTTAAATGTGAAATAATACAGCCTACAGTTAAACCTGGAAGATATACGCAGCGGCGTCAACGCTGAATGAAATGAAGAGCAAAGTACTGGAGGTCCTTTGAAAAACATACAAGGTTTAACGCAGTAGCTGCATGGACAATGTTTTTTGTCTTCGATATAAATAGAAAAGTACATTCAGTCTCCATTTGAACCGAGGTAAACATTCTCCATAGCAGTTGTGATGATATCAGATGAGCTTTCGTTTTGTTGCAAGGACAAGTTTGTGAACACACCACCTAAATCTTCCCTTCACATCTACAGCACTGGATAAAAAAAAGAGTGATTTCTACATTGCTAAGTTTCTTAAATGACAAGTGTGCTTTATGTATTTATATCTCAGGCATAGGTGGAGCGTGTGTAAGGCTGGGGAAGGCTTAGCCTTCTCCTGGCCACGGGGTCTTGGGGCAAAAATGACACTAAATTGGACAAAAATGCCCCTGCACAATCAAATTAAATCTATTGCGTCTGTTGCTAACAAAGTGTAAATTAATAGAAAGTGTCGACTGCGCATTAAATTAAGATTTGCTCATGTTGCACCTTATTTCATTTTAGGCGTTTTTACAGTGTTGCGCATTATAACCAATCATACACGATTCTGTTGAGCTTAGGAATGCAATGGCTAATCAGAGGCGTTCAGATGAGACATCGCTGAAACTCATCAGTTTTGTTGAATGCGCGCATGTTCAATGACTGAATTCCGCGAATTATCCCAGTAGCCCCTCACTGCAGAACACAAGATCCAGGAGGCGTGGTTGGATCCACATCTAGGGGTTGGAGATTGGTAGGTTTAGGGGTGGAGAAGGGTGGGTTTATGGATCAGGGGGACCATCTCAATTCTCTCATCATAAACAACAAAGCGCAGATGTACGTACAATGTAAGTAAGGGATTAATTTCGCAGTGTAGACAGCTTCAGTGATTATAACGATAGTTTTGTTTTTTTGAGAGTGCGATAGATCAAAGTTAGTGATGTCATTTCTGTACATGATTTATTTGCCGTTTGAATAACCGTGGGAAGGAAACATGATATAATTATCAATTTCTAATGTTTTAATTAAATTGTAATCACATTAAATACAAATCCAGTCCCATTAAACATTTTATTAGCCTACATGACACCCATGTCTGGTTCTTGCCTAAAAAGACAGGTTTATGATGTTTGTACTATGTAGTTAATCGATTTGGCTGCTTTTAGCCTTACCCTGGAGTTGGTTCACCCTCCGCCTGATAAAATATAAGAAATTGTGTTTGTATAATGGCTCCAAAAAATTTAATCACACGTAATGGATTAATTATAATATACTATAAGCAACATCGATGACCATGAACTATTTAATGACCTGCAGGTGGCACAGTTAGAGGCAAAGACTTCAAATTTGTCACAGTTTACTTTAAAGGCAGTCCTCTAAAGGCTAAAATTTTTTTTTTTTTTGGTTTTTCACACTCTAGGGTATGCGTACAGTGCGTGTGACATAAATTTTATCATCAGTATGTGTTTGCAGCCCGATTTTGTAAGTACATTTGCACAACATAATAAAATGCTTTGATAAATCATAATTGTGACACACTAAATAATTCTAACAAAGAAGTTGAAATTATGACATAAAACAAAAAGTTAAAATTATGAGTCAATTATGTGGACAAAGTTGAAATTATGAGATAAAGTCATTATGATAATTTATAACAAAAAATAACAGCATGTCTTAATTATGCCTTTATCTCACATTTTTTCACTTCTTATTTCATAATTCTTACTTTTTTATATCATAATTATGACTTTGTATTCCATACATTTAACTTAGTATTTCATATTTTTAACTTGCCATAATTTCAACTTGTTGTCATAATTATGACTTAGTACCTTATAAGTTTCAACTCATCTCATTTTGAGTTAGCATCTCATAATTTCGACTTTTTATTTCATAATTGTGACTTAGTATCTCATAGTTTCATTTTTTTTATCTCATGATGTAGTATCTCATAATTTTGACTTTTTATCTCACAAAAACGACTTTATATCATTTATACTTATTAACGGCTAAAATATATATATTTTTTGGTTTTTCACACTCTAGGGTATGCGTACAGTGCGTGTGACATAAATTTTATCATCAGTATGTGTTTGCAGCCCGATTTTGTAAGTACATTTGCACAACATAATAAAATGCTTTGATAAATCATAATTGTGACACACTAAATAATTCTAACAAAGAAGTTGAAATTATGACATAAAACAAAAAGTTAAAATTATGAGTCAATTATGTGGACAAAGTTGAAATTATGAGATAAAGTCATTATGATAATTTATAACAAAAAATAACAGCATGTCTTAATTATGCCTTTATCTCACATTTTTTCACTTCTTATTTCATAATTCTTACTTTTTTATATCATAATTATGACTTTGTATTCCATACATTTAACTTAGTATTTCATATTTTTAACTTGCCATAATTTCAACTTGTTGTCATAATTATGACTTAGTACCTTATAAGTTTCAACTCATCTCATTTTGAGTTAGCATCTCATAATTTCGACTTTTTATTTCATAATTGTGACTTAGTATCTCATAGTCTCAATTTTTTTATCTCATGATGTAGTATCTCATAATTTTGACTTTTTATCTCACAAAAACGACTTAATTATATCAATTATACTTATAATCATACACTTAATATACTATGAAAGATCATGCTTTCGGCAGCATACACTAAGCATTTGAGTCAAACCTGAAGTACACTGAAGTATTCGCAACATGTTACCATATGATTATATGTGCTGCCATAGACTTCAACTATCAACTTTCCAAGCAAATGACATCTTCAAACAAATGATGCTAGAGCTACAGCAGTACTAACAACCACAAAGTGACTAAATACTTTTATCGTATGATATAATTATCAATTTCTAATGTTTTAATTAAATTGTAATCACATTAAATACAAATCCAGTCCCATTAAACATTTTATTAGCCTACATGACACCCATGTCTGGTTCTTGCCTAAAAAGACAGGTTTATGATGTTTGTACTATGTAGTTAATCGATTTGGCTGCTTTTAGCCTTACCCTGGAGTTGGTTCACCCTCCGCCTGATAAAATATAAGAAATTGTGTTTGTATAATGGCTCCAAAAAATTTAATCACACGTAATGGATTAATTATAATATACTATAAGCAACATCGATGACCATGAACTATTTAATGACCTGCAGGTGGCACAGTTAGAGGCAAAGACTTCAAATTTGTCACAGTTTACTTTAAAGGCAGTCCTCTAACGGCTAAAATATATATATTTTTTGGTTTTTCACACTCTAGGGTATGCGTACAGTGCGTGTGACATAAATTTTATCATCAGTATGTGTTTGCAGCCCGATTTTGTAAGTACATTTGCACAACATAATAAAATGCTTTGATAAATCATAATTGTGACACACTAAATAATTCTAACAAAGAAGTTGAAATTATGACATAAAACAAAAAGTTAAAATTATGAGTCAATTATGTGGACAAAGTTGAAATTATGAGATAAAGTCATTATGATAATTTATAACAAAAAATAACAGCATGTCTTAATTATGCCTTTATCTCACATTTTTTCACTTCTTATTTCATAATTCTTACTTTTTTATATCATAATTATGACTTTGTATTCCATACATTTAACTTAGTATTTCATATTTTTAACTTGCCATAATTTCAACTTGTTGTCATAATTATGACTTAGTACCTTATAAGTTTCAACTCATCTCATTTTGAGTTAGCATCTCATAATTTCGACTTTTTATTTCATAATTGTGACTTAGTATCTCATAGTTTCATTTTTTTTATCTCATGATGTAGTATCTCATAATTTTGACTTTTTATCTCACAAAAACGACTTTATATCAATTATACTTATAATCATACACTTAATATACTATGAAAGATCATGCTTTCGGCAGCATACACTAAGCATTTGAGTCAAACCTGAAGTACACTGAAGTATTCGCAACATGTTACCATATGATTATATGTGCTGCCATAGACTTCAACTATCAACTTTCCAAGCAAATGACATCTTCAAACAAATGATGCTAGAGCTACAGCAGTACTAACAACCACAAAGTGACTAAATACTTTTATCGTAGTCTTCATTTTGAGCAGCTTTTTTTGTCACATAAGTCAGCAACCAATCTCACATAGATTTTAACATTATAAAGCCTTTATTAGATGGCTACATATTAAAAACACAGTGCACACAGGCCTTCATCAGGGTTTCATTAAAGAAATGACTTAGTTTAATATACTTTTTTTTTTCTCGATAACACTGACACATTTAAAGTAGTTATATAGTTCATCCAGATCCACACTTTTGGGGGCCACTGTACATGTTCACATGTATGTGTAGCTTCATCTCCATTCTGCCTCCAGCAAAAGATATAGCATATTTCATTTAAAAAGTCAGATCCAAATCTAATACAGCTTCTCTAGATCTGAACTAAAACTTCAAACAGGCTTGAGTTCTGAGAGAACATCACTGGATAGTGATGTTATGATATGAGTGTGCATCGCTTTCACAGAGTATGAACTCACTTGTTTGAGGATCTGGGCAGCCATTATGTGGCTGCAGTCGAAGATAATGCGAAACTCTCTGCTCCTTTTCATCTCTTTGAGCAGAGGTCTGGTGTCCGTGGTGTCCAGAGGGAGCTGTCGGATCTTCAGCCTGATGTTATACCTGGATGGAGCCATAATTAACTCCTGGAGTCTGATTAAACCTGCACAAGAAGAGTTGAGTGCCAGAGTCAATTACGTAGTATATCAGTACCAGCTCAAACCAGCCTCGGGTGATCAAGCAGGTTTTCGAACATGATAGCTGGTAAGTTGTTGGTTGAATGTGGTCTAACAGCTGCAACCACCTTGAAGAAAACGGTATGCCACACTGATATCTCTAGACACAAATATATATATATATATATATATATATATATATATATATAACCAATATATTGGCTAGTCCAGTTAATGGGCCAATATTTGGTCAATCTGGAATTTGCAATTATTTTTTTCTAGGAAAAGCTGCTGGTAGGTTTCTGCCAGGACATTTTATGCTAAATTCACAGATTAATTTCCTTTAATTAATTAATAATAATATAAAATAAAAAAATAAACACTAACAGACTGTTGTAGAGTGTCGTTAAAGTAGCATTCATTCATTCATTCATTCATTCATACATACATGCATACATACAACATGGGGTACATATCAGCTTACATAGGAGGGCCTTCAAATATTGTTTTGGACAAAAGAGACCCCTGGAATCAAAATGTTTGAGATCCACATCTCTAGACATTTGTAATTGCCATTGAGTTGACCAACTGATCCAGGCCAAGTTAGATCAGTCAATGACCAGAAATAACAGCTTGGACCAGCAAGAAACCATGTAAAATTTGATGAAGAGAGATGGGATATTCAGGACATGACCTTGGCCAGATTCAAACATGGGTCCCTTGTGAGCAGAGCTTCTAAAATGCTGAGAGCAAAATGCTTCCTTCTGTGCCACGGCTCTGAAAACTTATACTATGAAGCAGACATTCAATTTAAAGGGGTCATATGATGTTGCTTAAAATAACATTATTTTGTGTATTTGGTGTAATGGAATGTGTTTATGCGGTTTAAGGTTCAAAAAACACATTATTTTCCACATACTGTACATTATTGTTTCTCCTCAATGCTCCGCCTTTCTGACACTCCAAAGAGAAAGGAAAAATTGAAATCGCATCATATGACCCCTTTAACATGCAGTTATCTTGGTTGTATTTTTAATAATAAATATGTTTTTATCACATATTTTGCATCTCAGATGAATTTGCTTTCCTTTCTTGTTCCTGTCAGAAGCACCATTGCTCGATTACTTTGATGCGAGGTTTTTTGCATTTAGAGCTGTCGGCTAGCTCGCTTAAGCAACCCTATTCGATCCGCTCAGCAGAAAGAAAGAGTGTCTGACAGTCACAGCTCGGGCTTTTAAAGTTAAAGGCCACAATGGAGATGAGGAGAGTGAAAGAGAGAAAGAGAAAAGTTAATGGCCTCATCAAAGGTACATTGCCTCCTTAAGGCCTGCAGGGTCATCTTTCATTCCCTGATAAAAAATAAAAAAAATAGATTCATACACAGGCCTATAGCTTGTGGGTAGAGTTTTTGCACAGAAGTTTGAAAAGTTTAAAGCCGTTTCGGCAAATTCATTTCATAACAATCTGCTGAGATCTTACTGTTAAAGGAATAGTTCACACAAAAATGGAAATCTGCTGAATATTTACTCACCCTCAAGCTATACAAGATATAGATGAGTTTGTTTCTTCATCAGAACAGATTTGGAGAAATGTAGCATTCCATCACTTGCTCACCAATGGTTCCTCTGCAGTGAATGGGTGCCGTCAGAATGAGAGTCAAAACAGCTGATAAAAACATCACAGTATTCCACAAGTTATCCACACCACTCCAGTCCATCAGTTAACGTCTTGTGAAATGAAAAGCTGCATGTTTGTAAGAAACAAATTAATATTTTTTAACTTCAAACCATCGCTTCTTCTATCCATAATATTGCTTGCTGCAGTGAAAAAGTCATCACGTCTGAATCAGGAGAGAAATATGCACAGATGAAGCACCAATTACCAGCAAAAAGAGTCCAAAACAGTTTTAAACATAAAAAAATATCAGTGTATTTTGATGTAAGAGCACAACAGGGGATTGACATTTCTATCGGAGGAAGTGTTATTATGGATTATGAACTGTGGAGATTTTGTGCAGAAACAATGGTTTAAAGTTAAAATGCCTTAATAACGGATTTGCTTATTACAAACATGCATCTTTTTATTTCACAAGAAGTTAACTGATGGACTGGAGTGGTGTGGATTACTTGTGGATTATTGTGATGTTATATATATATATATATATGTATATATCAATATATATAAATTGTCAGTACTTCTAAAAATATTGTTTGTGTGTTTGTCTTTTGTTTTTCTTCTTTTTTTCTAGAAATAAATACTCAATTCATACAATTACACAGTTGCAAGTACAGTAACAGTGTTGCATATCTAGCCTACATTAAGCTAGTTTGAAACCAAATATTGGTTTATGATAACTGATAAACATTTCCCATAAGTTCAAAAATATACAATACAGATCATTTCTCATTTTTCTTACAATACCTTTGATAATAGGAGTAAAATAGCAGTAAAATGCTTCAGCTTGAAATAAATAGTTTATGTAATATTTTGTTTTATGTGTGTATGTTCAAATTATCCCCTTCCTGGCCCTCGAGACTCATTTCACATCACTCAATTATTAATCTAACACGTATAATAAAAAATAAAAAAAATAGATTCATACACAGGCCTATAGCTTGTGGGTAGAGTTTTTGCACAGAAGTTTGAAAAGTTTAAACCGTTTCGGCAAATTCATTTCATAACAATCTGCTGAGATTTTCAGACCTTGAGGATTAATACTGTTAGACCTGCTTCACCTTTCCAGAGTATATCAGCGATTTGACGGTCTGGAAGCCAAAGACATATGAGCAGAGAGAAATATTGGAAGAGCAAAGTTTGATCGGTTGTACAGAATTCAATTTCACATATCGGTTCATGCTATTTGGGAATTAAAATATTATTAACACCTTCCACAAATAGTGTACAAAATAGTCTCTGAAACTGGAGCATCTGAATCTAATATTATTCTATAA